ACAATGACGAGAGAGAGAAAGAGAGAGATCTGAAGTGAGTGAGTGTGAGAGAGGGAGTGAGAGATAGATAGATATATAGATAGATATATATATATATATATATATATATATATATATATATATATATATATATATATATATATAGTCAGACAGACAGACAGACAGACAGACAGACAGACAGACAGACAGACAGACAGACAGACAGACAGACAGACAGACAGACAGACAGACAGACAGACAGACAGACAGACAGACAGACAGACAGACAGACAGACAGACAGACAGACAGACAGACAGACAGACAGACAGACAGACAGACAGACAGACAGACAGACAGACAGATAGATAGATAGATAGATAGATAGATAGATAGATAGATAGAGAGAGAGAGAGAGAGAGAGAGAGAGAGAGAGAGAGAGAGAGAGAGAGAGGACTTTAAAAAACTGCTCACGACAATCCCACAGAAAAGTCTCATGCTTGCGGTAGAAAGCAATGGACCCGCCACATCTGATCACCATGTTGATTGCCAGCTCAGCATTGACACTCGCGTCTGGAGGTAAAGCAATTGAATAATTTTACATTTGTTTATGAAGAGGATCTCGCTGACATGCATACAAGGTAGACATACAGATAGACGGACATAAAGATAGACAGACAAGTAGACACACATATAGCTAGCTAGTCAGCCAGACTGACGAGTCAGACAGAGGGGTGAATAGATGGATAGGAAGACGAAAATACATACTAGTCACGTACTAAAATAGGTACATGCAACGATTTTAATGTTGGCTCGTTCTACATGTTTGACCTTATGCGTGCCTCAATCAAGCTGTAAAGTCTGAACACATAAATGTGCATTCAGAACACGACAATAACGTTGAAATCGTTTATTGTGGCACAACAATAAGCCATTATGTCGATATCCACAGTTCTCACAAGTCGTTGACCCTTTCCCCGCTTTCAGGCGTACTGGACACATAAGGCGAGACCTATATTTTATGGCACCATATACCCTGTCCCTCTAAAAGTATAGAAATAGGATGTTTACCTTTTAATAGAAGACAAACACAGTTTAAGTAGTCATTAAATGACATCTCCCCATGTGGGTTCGGGACCCCATTGTGGGGGGTGGGGGGTGGGGGTGGCAAGAATCGACGCAGGGCTTCTACACAACATGTCGTAAGTGTCGACTAACTGGGAGCTCCCTTCGAAGTCGCAGTGCATCTATCTGTGAGGCATGTATAACGATATAACGCCTGGTTGTCAGTGCCAGATGTGCACACAAGAATCACGTTCTAGGGCAAGACTAAAGTCTAGAGGTGGACGAACAATCAGAGCTTGTCCGCTGGAGTTTACAGCCGGGGAACGCGAAGAATAAGAAGAAGTAAATGACCTTTCTCAGGTCAGTGGCGCATCGGGCCTATTATGCTACACGGTCAGTTTTATTACACACCCATCAACATTTATAGGTAGTGTGGCCAACATCACACAAGCCGCCTTGATTCCCATAACGTTTTCTGGTACCCTTTTTAAAATCCTGGCTCGACCTTTGCCCTGCACATGCATCAGTTAAAGAATGGGTACTTTAATTGTATACGATCATATCTCGTTGGCTTCGAGATTTAGTAGGGAATTTCCCAGAACGTCCCACTCTATGGGGGAGGGGGTTATGGTTAGACTTAATAGAGGTCGCTATTAATTTAACACTAGCCCTAAACCTTCCCTACTCATAATATGGGAGTGTCCAGGAAAACCCCTAGGGATTCATAGGAACTCCCTACGAGATCTCGAAACTGATGAGATATGATCGTATAAAATTAAAGTACCAAAGAATGTTAACAGAGTTAAAAAAATTGGGCTCTACTTTGAATTTCCCCATAAAATGGCGGCCGTAATATAATGCCTTTCGAAAGAGAGCTAAATTGGCCAATTTCTGGCCATAAAATATCCAAAAATATCCGAATGGGGCTCAGTGCTATAAAAAATATATGTGCCGGCTCCGCATAACGAAACAAATGCTCTAACAGGGTCTCGGCGATACGTTACTTGCGGACCTGCTAGTTTAGCCCCCCCCCCCCATCCGCGCCGCGCGTAGCGGCGCGAGGGATACGCTCGGCGATGAGTTTAATCGCGTTTAGTGCATGCCGACAAGTCTGACATCTACCGCTGCTAAATCCTCCCATCGGAAGAACACAGTATTGCTAATCGGCTTTCATCGTCTGTAATGTCTCGAAATTGGTCAACGGTCGCTAATATCGTCTGCTAGTATCGTCGTTTGCAGAAACGCTCGAAATTGTCAACAGCCGGTATTTTTATCGTCGGCTACTACCGTGTGCAATGTTGATATTGATTATCAAGTAATCCTAGTTTTGGCGCGATTTTTTCCTTGGCAGAAAGTCCGTATTTTAGATATACGTGAACAACGTTCGGATATTTTTGGATATTTTATGGCCACAATGTGCCATCATATTACGGCCGCCATTTTATGGGGAAGTTCAAAGTAGAGCCAAAAATTGTTTTAGTTGTTCTCCACGTTTTAGCTCAATACAACAGAACTAATTTGACATTTAAAAAAAAAAAATGATAAGTTTGGTATTTAGGCTAACACAATTTTTGTTCACATGAGAGTTTGGACTTGCAGAAAATCCCTGCTGCTCTTACCCATGTCAAAACCAAGGAATCTGTCAAACCGGCAAGGAGCCTGGCTCATACACTTGTGACTGTGCAAATCTGGAATATTATGGGCGCCATTGTGAAATTCGTATGTATTTCGTCGTCGTCATCATCCTAATCACCATCATCATCATCATCATCATCATCATCATCATCATCATCATCATCATCATCATCATCATCATCGTCATCATCATCGTCATCATCATCAGACATTGGCTAAAATGCCTCTCCACATCTTGCCATCTCCAACATTGTGTATCACATAACGTGCTAATATCCTTCCATGCCATGACAAAGGCAGGTAAAAAATGCCCGCTCTTTATTCTATCCTGCTCGGTCTCTATTTCCGTAAACGTACTCTGCTCATTTGTGCGTAACGTCAGTTTTATGTATTTCCCTGCTTAGAATGTGCGGCTAACACAAAAAACAAATACCCGATGTCGTCAGATGTGCTGGGCCAATAGGTACAAGAACCTCAGCTTTGATATAAACTGGTCATCATCATCAGGTGCCTTGACGACTGGCGTGGGCGATCATGCTTCTCCATAATCTGCGATCTCCTGCAGCGTGTATCAGTTCGTGTGCCGACACACCTCCATGCCGTGCAACAAGACTGTCAAGCATCTTCTCTCGTTGTCTTCCTCTATCTCTCCTTCTACATATCTTTCCAGTGGTCACAACATGTTCTATTTTCCCTCTTCTCATAACATGGCCGAAAAATGATGACTGTCTCCTTCTGATGTCTGTGATAAGTTGTCTTCGAGCTCCACCTCTTTCAAAACCTCTTGGTTGCTCTTTTTGGCTGTCCAAGGTATTCTAAGCATTCTTCTGTAAAACCACATCTCCGAGGCCTCCATAAATTGTTTGGCCTGACTACCTACTGTCAAGGATTCACAGCCATATGTTAAAACTGGATGTATGTAGCAAGCAAGAATTCTTTTTCCAACTCTCAATAACAAGGATATATTGCACAAGGTATTTTTTTTATTTTATAAAATGCAGCTTTTGCCTGTCCTATTCCATTTCTTATCTCCGTTATGCATCTTCCATCTGATGTTATCTATGTGCCCAGATACTTAAATTTCTGTTCTTGTCCTAAAATAACACCATCAGCGGTGGTTTCCCATTGCCTTCCACCGGTTTGTATATGGCTTGACTTTAATAGCCTTTGTCTAAAGAGACTTACCCTGCAAGGCAGCAGGGGGGAGAGGTTATGACGCCTCTTACCTGCCGATGGCCATGTCGTAGAGTTTTGAGGTATTTTATAGAGTTAGCTGTCCCACCAACTAACTCGCCTCTTCTCAATGACCGTCACCTGTTTTGGTCCACGGCCACTTATTCAATATATTCGTGGCTAACCTCTATATCTAGAGGCCTTTCCACCATCTGCCACCTGGTAGACGCGCCTTGTAGTAGGACAGGCTCCTACCTTAGGTAGGTAATAAACTGGTACATGACTTTAAAAAAGTCGGGAACTCCCGGACCTGAAGACTGCTGGATTTGTGCAAATGTCGGATTTTATGTGGTATAAATACCGTAAATGGGAGTCGCCGTGGCAGAGCGGCTAAACGCGCGCCGCTGATCGAAAGGTCGTGGTTTCGCTCCCTGGTGGAGCCGGACTTTTCTTTAAAAATGACCTTGGCTCTCAGGTCGACCCGAGTCGAGTGGGTCCCGGGTGCAGTCCCCTTGAAGTAGAGACCACATCACACAGCTTGTCTATAAAATTTAGGTCTAGCCCTATATGCCCTATACGACTAAAGGCGAGGAACAGGGTCCTTTACTTTTTTAAATACCGTAAAAAATTACAAAAAATGACTACCCGTGCAACCCTATAAAAAAAATTTTAAAAAATTTAACATCAATGAGGAGCAAATGAAATTTTAATGTCCATCAACTAAGTAAAACAGTTCTACGGAATGTTAGTTCAAATGAATAAAAAAGTTCCTCATAATTTTAATGTTAATGAAAAGATCTTAAGAATTTCCAATTTGAAATGCCCTCCGAAATCTGTACCGGAAATCTTAAGGAACAGGATTATAGATGGCCAGATTTTTAGGGGTAACTTGTACACCGCAGTTGAAGAAAAAGAAGAAGAAGAAGAGGAAGAAGAGCAAGAAGAAGAAGAAAGAAAGAAAAAAAGAAAGAAAGAAAGAAAGAAAGAAAGAAAGAAAGAAAGAAAGAAAGAAAGAAAGAAAGAAAGAAAGAAAGAAAGAAAGAAAGAAGAAAGAAAGAAAGAAAGAAAGAAAGAAAGAAAGAAAGAAAGAAAGAAAGAAAGAAATGTTTCTGACCAGAGATGTGATGAAATAAACACGCTATTCTTCCAGCAACTTTCACGAACTGGCTGACGCTCCCACTGAGACCATCGTCAGAAACTATCCACAACCTGCTAATCAGCCCATGGTTCAAGTGGCTCTGGGACATCGTCAACTCTGTCGAATGGCTACACGATTACTTCACGAGGCGAATATATCTGGGTAAGTGTCCCTAGAGCTATATAAGTAAAGGGAAGATACCTTTTCACGCCTTTAGGCACATCGGGCATATGGGAAGAGCTCTCATATTTCTACAGACCAATCAGCACTGGGTGAGTAATGTGGTCAGCATTATACAGGCCGTCTTTACTTCCCCAGGACATACATTCTGGTACCCATTCTAGGCTGGGTCGACCTGCGACGCCCCATACCATGATAAAAATCCACGCAGCCAGACGTGGGTTTCGATCGCGGTATGTTAGAATTACGAGTCCGACTGGCAACGCCGAAGCCACGGACGCCGCATAGAGCTACACAGAGCAAAAGAACTCTTGTTGCTCGTCCACCACCATTCATCCGCTACGTAGAATGAGGTATATGAGTGCGCAGATGGTCGGTGAATCGAATCCTCACACGGCAAAGTTCTTGCGCATCGTGGGCATGACATTTGCTAAACCTCATCCAGATTCATCATCAATTTCCACTTTTGCCGTCAGGTGATGTGGAGTTGTGGGATCCGTTGTGGCTGTGGACCAGTTTGCGATCCATAGCTTGATGGGCAGCAATGGATATTCTCATTCCGTGTTGATGTAAAAGCTCTTTAATGTCATCAATCCATGTTCTCCTAGGGCAGCCTCTTTCTTTCACTTCAGATCTTTTCATGTGTAGCGCCTGCGTTAGTAGTTGTTCTAGTTGCATTCTTACTAAATGACCAAATCATTTGATCAGTTTTCCTGTTTAGCTCACGGCTTTCACATACCGCCGTTTCACGAGGAAGAGATTAGCGGCAGTATGAACGATGGCAGTAGAGCTGTATGTGCAAAAAGACTCGTTTACCACTGGCCATTCTGGAGCGGACGTGTGTGTATGAGTTTTTTCTCCTATACAGAAGAGTTTGTAAGAACAGAAAGCTCACGATTTAAACAAAAACTCTTGTCTACCATGCCTGTTTTCTCAGCACTCTGCTTTATGGCAGTGAAACTTTTTCAGCTTATTCGCACCAGGAGAGACGTCTAAATAACTTTCACATGGGATGCCTAAGAAGAATACTTGGCATTGAGTGACAGGACAGAATCACAAACACCGAGGTACTAGAAAGAGCAAACAACCGTCTTTTCAATGCTCAGTCTAAAAAGGCTCAGGTGGCTAGATCACACCTGAAGAATTGATGATGGCAGAGTCTCTTATGGTGAGTTAAGAACGGGTAGAAGGTGTCGAGGCTGTCTCTACTGCGATATAAAGATGTGTGCAAGCGGGACATGAATGATACGAGTATTGAGGTGCACTCTTAGGAAAAGAATGCCACATACCGTATTTTGTGCAAGGGAATGAAGGGAATAAGAAAGAAGGAAGAAATGATTGCATATAGGATGAGAGCTGAGTGTCTGAGAATAAATATACTAAACACAAATGTTGACAACAATGGTCATGAAATCCCATGTTATCATTGTGGAAGATTTTTCCTAACGCGGGCAGGTCTTGCTAGTCACACTCGCCATCGCCATGGGCTAAGAGTCCCATGCCTCTTCAGAGCGCAGTATATCACTATCGTCTGGAAAGACGGGAAGGTGGCAATCAATCAGTCAATCAATCAATCAATCATTCAATCAATCTCCTACACAAAGATATCAAAATTTTATTCTCCTAAAAATGTGTGTGTCACATGCCTCGACACAATTCTGACGTGTCATAGATCTTAATTAGGCCAACAATCCTGACTTGTCATAGATCTTAATTAAGGCAACAATCCTGGCTTGTCATAGATCTTAGTTAAGCCAACAATTTGTCCATGTTTCCTGTTTCTAGTGCGCTCTAATATAGTCGACAGTCCAGCCGTGTATGAAACAGCTCATGCATATCCTACAATCGCTGCACACACCAACAACTCGTACTACGCCAGGACCCTACCCCCAGTACCCTTGGATTGTCCTACCCCGATGGGAACTAAAGGTGAGATAAACGTCGTTTTGTCAAGTCTTTTATCTTCAACCCTAACGTATGACGTTCCTAATTTATGCAAGTCAATTAAAGGATCATTTTCCCCGCCTTTAGGCATATTGGGCATATATGGCTAGACCAATATTTGATAGACCAACTGCACTAGGGGGTGGGGGTGATGTGGTCAACATCACGCTAACCGCTTTTACTTTCCAGGGCTTGTACCTGGTACCATTTAAGACTGGGTGGACCTGAGAGAAATGGTAATGTTTAACAAAAAGTCCGGCTCCGTTTGGATTTGAGCCCACGACCTTTCGGATCTGCAGGTGAGCATCTAGCCGTTACATCACAGTGGCTGTCTTTGAAGCACGCAAGCCACGTTAACTACCTTTTAAAAACTCCTTGTGCAGTTATAATTTTTAAATATAAGACATTGTTCTTGTTTTATGCCCTCCGGGGTTTCTAGCGAAGTGTCTAGAGGTAAACGATTTTCTCTTCACCCATTTATGCAAAAGTTCCCTAGTCGGCTATCAGACGACTAATTGGGTTCCCTACCGGAGAGTGCTGAACACAGTGCACATAGTCAAATCGTACATCCAACATCAATAACCGACAACAGCCAACCACATCAACAATACGAGAAGAGTCATCTCTATAATCATGCATTAGTCTATTTATTGGGACGAAACACAGTATGGCGATGAAGATGAACTGGTGGTTACCGAACTACTGTCCGTCTAATAGCCCTATATACACGCTGATCTGTATCCAAGGCGGTCTCACCTCAAAGGGAAACACTTAGCCTCGTCTTGACGTGAGTCCACAACATAAGACGCCTTCAGCCTGTGGGTCCGCTCCTGGGGTCACCGGTAGTCCTTCATGAACATCACGGTTTCGTACCCACCACTGAGTCACCTATAACCGGCCATAATAATAAACACCTTGGTTATGTGCCCACCCTTTGGATACGCCTCCACGACACGCAGTCAGCCTTCAGTGCGCCCATGAACACATCCTCGCAGTTGGATCATAAAGAGATGGGCCCTCAACGCCTTGTCTCGATTTACTACACTCCACTCTGGGCATTCTGAATTATACACCAAATTCTAATGAACAATCTATGCTTTCACTCGAATAAATAATACACATGATTACAACTAAAAAGTCCCACACATCACTACATACGTCCGCACTCAGCCCTGTCTCACAATTTAACTGTGTGGACCTTTTGCACTCGTCTCTGCCATCATCATCATCTAGCGCCTTTACGACTGCCGTAGGCGAGCAAGCCTCTGACGCCTGGTACAATTGAACAGCAAAGTGAGTTTAGCACACAACAGTTATGCATTATGTATTATTCGGTGTTATTTATCTTTGGCACATGAATGGAGCAATTATGGTTTGCCGTGCTTGCTGTGAAACTGTAAATCAGATGACTAGCGACTAACCCAAATCGCTGTTACTTCAGCATTCCCTTCATCGCATGCTCTTCCTCTTTGAGAAGTGTGTTTCAGACCTAGTCATGATGATTTTTGATTTAGTGTCAGATCATTCTGCGTTGATTTGGACAAGGGTATAAGCGGAATACCTGTAAGAAACAATGGGACACTTTTGAACAGAAAATTGCCAAGCAAAACTGTATGAGCGCCAATTAATCTTGGGACTGATTTGTTGCGTCCCGTGAAACACATACACCTGTTGTCGTTGCTTTGCTGGGAACAAAATCGTCACTTTCAACCAGTATTCTTGAAAGGGGAGCTTCAGGTTATAATTGTGACTAGGTTATGTACGCCATTTAAAATTGCATGGCATTGCACGCCACCAAAAGCCCGGAAAATGACTCCTGTTGTGTTGATGCGATCAAAGGCGACATACCCAAATGCTGTCCTGACCAGCGACGAAGTCGTCTCCCAGTGAGCTAATGGGCGAGCCGGTCGCCGATGTTATAGACATACTACTGACTTCAGCTTTGTATTTATCTGAAATGAGAAGTAGACAGAAAACTATAAACAGACAAACAAGGAATAAGACAAGGATGCATTCAGTCGCCAGATTTATTTTATGGAAATAATCAGCTCAAATAACAAGGTCAACAATAGATACAGTGTTCTTTCTGTAAGTGGCTATAATATAATCAATCTTCGTTATGCAGACGACACAGTATTGATATCTAACACCACAGCTGTTATATGCTAAAGTATAGAATATCAATACAATATGAATTCAAATATACAGCGGGATGGCTACAACAAAGAAAACGCTAACACACAAGTCTTATTTACAAACGAAGGAAAATGCTCCACTGATTTATCAGATTTGGCGACAGCCGTCCTATCAAATGGAATATTAGAATATATAATATTACTGAAGTGTTTTGTTGAACCTGTTCTGTGTGCAATTACATATGAAAGAAGGCGGGAAGGGGGGTGTCATCACTGAGGGGAGAATAAAATGTCAAAAATGTTATGTATATAACATATGTATGTGTGTTGGGGGGGGGGGCATTAAATGTTCCACGCGGAGTGGTACCGTCTGACATTGTTACGCCACTGTCTGTATGGCAGTGAACCTTGGAGTGCGTGTGACTAAAAAAATAAGGAAGAGGTTGAGACATATACTGCAAATGTCTTCAACACGGACAGGAAATAATGAGTAGCTGGGGGAAAAAAAATCTAGTGAAAGTAGAATATTGCAGAAAATATAAGGTCACAAATAATGCGGGTTTTTTTCCTTGAGACGATTTACATTAGAGAATATCGTGATGGCTGCAGAGCAGTCCTGGATTTAGGTATACGCTAAATAAGCTACCTCCTGGGACCTCACGATCTGCACGGGCCTCAACAACCCCCACCCCACCACCACAAATGCAGGTTTTCTTAATAGAGCCTTTTTAGAGGATTATACAGTTTAATTTTGCATACACTTTCTTTAATATTTCCTGTTCTTTATTAATATCTTACTCCAGATGAGGTCACAAGACAGTCCAACATTTTAGAGGATGGTAAGACTGGGTTGTCGGCTCTGTGGCTAAGTCGATGCGAACGCTTCGCTTCGTAATGCCGGGATGCCAGGTTCGATCCCAGCTGCGGGCAATGCGCCTTGCGTTGGTTTCAACAGTGGTATCAAGAAAGCCGACCGTCCAGGAAGCAATGGCAAACTACTGGATGTAACCTGCCTAGAGAAACCACACAACAGCCAGGGGCTGTTGGGGTTGGCTCTGCAACGTCCTGTAAAGGATATGCAACTAACTTAACTTAAGGCTGGGTTTCCCAGCTTTCTGATCCTTTTACGACCCCAAAAATATCTAGAACTGGCCCTAACCCCAACCCACCTACGTTTCCCGAGAGAGTGCAGCCTAGGTCCCACGACCTGTGGACTTCCCCTTTTTGGGGTAGGATATTAATGAAGCACCTTATTTCCTTCACTAAAAAGAACTGATTAAACCACAGTATGTTTCCATTATTCAAATATTTACAAGGCTTAGATATTTTTGGGAAGTCTCCCTTGTGTAGCGTATAGAGACACTCGCCTATATATCTGGATACAAGTAAGCCAGATCTGGACACAAATTACCCAGATCTGGATACAAACATGCTAAATCTGCACGTTAAATTTAGATATAAATATGCCAAATCCGATACAAATAAGCCAGATCTGGATATAAAATGCTAAATCTAGTTACAAATATGATAAATTTTGATATAAATAAGCCAGACCTGGATACAAAATGCCAAATTTAGATACAAATATGCCAGATATGGATACAGATAAGCCAGATACAAATATGTCAGATCAGTATACAAATAAGCAGAGTCTGTCTGGACTCAGATAAGCTAGATCAATACAAATAAGCGAAATCTGGATACGAAAAGGAACAAATTTTGCTGCAAAATACCAAATTTATAGATACAAATGTGCAAAATCTGGATACAAATAAGCCAAATCTGGATACAAATAAGCCAATATGTCTTGCCCAATATGCCCTGTATTTCTGAAGTGGAAATAAGTTACCTATACTTCGCTTTAACTTACATGCTTTACAGTTTTCTGAGATTAGCTGGTGTAATTTTAACCAAAAGGGGCCTCAGTGCTTTATATAGCTTAGTACCATGTGGGTTCCGCAGCTACATTTTGAGGGTACACGAATAAAAGACCAACAATCCCTCCACAAGCATGTCGTAAAAAGTCGACTAATTAGAGATGCTTCTTTTGAAGTGATGTGTCTGAGAGGTGGGAAGCCAGCTGCCTGTGTACAACTAGGCCAGACCTGTAAAACGGATGTGTACACAAAACACGTTCTAGAATAATGGTTCTCAGCCTATGGGTCACCATCACTTTGGGGATCGAACGACCTTTTTCTCAGGGGTGGCCTAAGACCATCGGGAAACATATATTCGCTGAAGTTATAAAGTAGCAACGAAAATAGTTGTAAAGTTATGGGTCACCACAACGGGAGGAACTGTATTAAATATCGCGGCATTAGGCAGGTTGAGAACCACTGTTCTAGAACAAGACTAAAATCTAGAAGTGGACGAACAACCAGAACGTTCCGCCAGAGTTTAAGCCGCGAAATGCGAAGAAGAAGATAACAATGTTTAAGGGGAGCCGTAAGGTGAATGGAGCAGTTTAGTAAGTAAGTTGTACCCCACCAGAACATCAAACAGAGCTATAAACCCCCGATGACACGAAGAGCCACCATGCGGATGAGGATCACCCGTGGAGAGGTCCCGGAAGCCACGTTCAACCGTTAGGTTATATTAAGGCCCCCAGCAACAGCCAGGGTGGGGCTTCAAAATAACGAAAAATTGTGTCCCACGAGGGAACGGTAAGATGAATTATTTTGGAGCAGTTTGTGTTTCTTCTTCTTCTTCTTCTTCTTCTTCTTCTTCTTCTTCTTCTTCTTCTTCTTCTTCTTCTTCTTCTTCTTCTTCTTCTTCTTCTTTTTCTTCTTCTTCTTCTTCTTCAGCATTCCGAGCCCTCGAAGTTCATTGCTGCAGATATCACCCGCCTCCATCGGCACAGCAAAAAACGAGACGCACATCGGACACGTCAGAAAACTTGTTAATCAACATAGAACTGGTACTATTAGCCATCGGACGTTGGGGTTCATACTGAGGGGAGGATCTGAGCACCTATGGACATGTCCGGAGTGCAATGATGATAACCCAACTAACTAACTAACTAACTAACTAACTAACTAACTAACTAACTAACTAACTAACTAACTAACTAACTAACTAACTAACTAACTAACTAACTAACTAACTAACTAACTAACTATCACCCGCCTCCATCCACGTCTCTGGTTGACCTTCTTTTTCCAGTTGGTGATACCAGGTGTTTGCAGGTCTGTCTCTCTATTGTCTTCTTGGTCTGCCTCGTGGTCTACGACAATTCATCCCGTTTGGGTTTAACCTGAGGATTGGCTTCCGTATGCAGTTAGAAATGTGTGTGTCAGAAATTAATTTTTTCAGTTTCAACTATATGTTACAATATTTTTTTTATTAATGCAGACTTTGTATTATTATTATTATTATTATTATTATTATTATTATTATTATTATTATTATTATTATTATTATTATTATTATTATTATTATTTAAAACTGTTGCACCCTGTACTGTCTTTCATGACACAAAACTACAAAATTATATTCAAGGAATTTATTTGAAAACACATTTTGCCAGGGAAAAAGAATCTTCCAGACGTGGACACTCTAATCAAGAAGTTCTTCATCCGTACAAAACTACGGCTGGAGCCAATGGGCAGCAGTCTCCTCATGGCCTACTTCGCTCAACATTTCACCCATATGTTCTTCAAAACGGACTTCCAGAGAGGAGCCGGCTTTACCTGGGGCGGGCATGGGGTGAGTTGCTGTAACATATAAGAAACAGAATTGTTTACAGTGAACAAATGTGTTTATAAGTAAATATTTCAAGACCCAACATTTTACTTTATAACATTTGTGTGTGTGAGGTGGATCTGTGTGAGGCGCCCGGAACCTGAGGCCTAGCTAGGCACCCATTCCCAGTTTTTATTTTATTTTAGGAGAGGATTGGGGGGGGGGGGGGTGGGGGGGGGGGGAGTGTGGGGAGATACATTTGTACTGGGTCTAAGTGGCGCCCTAACAATGTATTGAAGGTCACTTTTTACGCGTCTGTTTATAATACTTTATATTATTTCAAATATATTAATTTATGGAAGTATTATTATACTGGAAGTACCAGTAAATATAAGTTTATATTACTATTTTTGTTTATGAAAGGTTTTGTAAGCTATTGCATTGCATATTTGAAAAAACAAAAATGATAAAACTCCGTGACTTTTAATCTGCTCCTTAGTTGAGCGGCGACTATATCAAGTCCGTGTTGACTTGCTGACTCGTGACATAGTTTTTCTTTGTGGCGTTTGGTTGCGCCTGGTATTCCGTTTTTCCTTTGTTGGCCATTCATTTCTGTCAGCGTGAAGGTGCTCTAGACGAGTTCTGTTTTGGATCTGCTATTGGCTCCGTTTTGTTTGTTTTGGCCTTTTTTTTTACATCAAGTTTTCTTCTGGTCACACGTGGTATAGAAGTAGTGAAGATTTAACACATATGCGAGGGAAAAAATAAGAATGCTTGAAAAGCTGAGTTGAACGTAAAGTAAGGTCAAAGGAGTTAGGGTGATGGATTTGTTGTAACCACGTCCAGCTGTATCTAAAGATGGCCGTGGTTGTAACCCAGTCTCGGTGCATTCCTTTATCGGGGGCCTACAGTACTGTCGGCTTAGGCGTTGCGAACGAGCTTCCTTATGTCGCGCTGATGAAGGTTCAATAGCCACAACGTTCACGTTTTGTTTGTATTTGTTATATTGTGAAGCTTGCTGTGTGCTGATGAAGGCCCAATAGCCGCAACGTTCACGTTTTGTTTGTATTTGTTATATTGTGAGGCTTGCTAATATACGCTTCATTCGGGTTTATATCTTTTCCTAATGTCGGGGTGCCGGGTTCGATCCCAGCTGCAGACGGTTCGTCTTGCGTTGGTTTCGACAGTTGTACTGACAGCTGACCGTTAAGTAAGCAATGGCAAACTACTGAACGTTAAATTTGCCTAGAAAAACCACAGCAGCCGAACAAATGCCGGGGATACGCGACTAACTTTTTAAAAGTACTGTTAAGACGGCCCTCGTGAGTTACTATGACAACCTGATGGCGCGCGCACGCACGCATGCACACACTCAAGTAAAGAGAAACGTTTTGTGAAAGAAGTGTCAGTAAATGTTAGGGGCGTTGCTTGGTATAAACTAGGGCTGTACCGAATAGTGATTTTAACATCACATGTACACACATTCAAGATAGGTGTATCAGCGATGTGCACCTGTGGAAATGTGCCTCAGACAGCAGAGCATGTACCCCAGGACTGCACCGAATGTGACACATTAAGGCAAACCTTTTGGCCAGAAAGAACAACAGTGGAACGTAAACTTTATGGACCACTGAACGAACTAACAACGACAGTGAAATTTATACAAGAGACAAAACTGCTGATATAGACAACTTATTTCAGGCGAACGAAAGAAGAAGAAGAAGAAATGATTTTAACTATTCGGTCGAAAACGAATAGCGGGACCAACTATACGGCCGAATACGAATAGTGTATAGTGTATACAATATATCTAAAAAACACACATTTATAATGTCAAATGTACGCTAAACTTTTACTTCACATAAAGTAGCACAGAATAGTCATCTTCTTCTTTAGCATTCTGAGCCCTTGAGGTTTACTGCTGCAGATATCACTCGTCTCCATTCATCTCTCTGGCTGGCCTTATCTTCACAATTTGTGACACCAGTTGTCGCCAGGTCTGGCTGGAAATTATCTCTCGAACTTATTTTTTGTCTGCCTCGTGGTCTGCTCCCATTCCTCTCTCAGGTGTATACAGTTTTTACTTCTCTGTCATCTGACATTCTTTCAATATGCCCCAACCATTTTAGTGTGTTAGCTCTCATGATGCCAGTGATCAATGGGGATTTCAACAGATTATGTGTTATGTGGTTGCTTCTGACTCCCATTCCCCGCTGTTAGCATCTTTGACAGGTCCAAAGATTTGTTGTAGAACTGTTTTCGAAAACCTGTAATAAGGCCTAATCTCTTTTATTTCTGCTTCAAGTTTCAGAGCCAAATAAAACGACTAGTCTTTTCAACGTTTTATATATTTTGATCTTGGTGTTGCGAGACAGACACTTTGACTTTAGCAGATGTTGAAGGGCATAGTACACTATTTCTAGATTGTATTTCTTCTCTCAACATGTTGGAACAGCTGAAATTTGCACACAGGTACTTAAATGTTTCTGTTCGTTTGATTTTCATATTATCGACTTGTATGTGGCCGGAGTTTATATTCTTTCCATGTCTAGTTAGTAGTTGTACAGAATAGTAAACATTTAAAAACATGTTATGCTCTGAATCCTTCAGTCAGTCTGTGGTAACAAATAACTAGGATTGAAAGAATCATAAGTGTTATAACAATTAACTAAACTTGGAAATTGTCACTGACAGCTTAGTTAATGCAGGAAAGCTGCATTAGCTTTCAACAAAACCAATCGTTTCATATTGTCAGCATTAAGCTGTGTATGCAGAAGCGGGTGTAAGGTAACTACTATTCGTATTCGGGCCGACCACAACTATTCGACCAAATACAGAATAGTCAATACGTCCACTATTGGGCTCCGAAGCGAATATTCGGTACACCCCTAGTATAAACGCATCAAATGTTACGTTGCATTATTTCACCAAACCTGTGAATTGGTGCATCTGATTTAGAAATTAATTACGAAGAGTTTGGAGGCAGATTCTTGAGAAGAATGTTGCTAATACCTCGAACTGCCAGAATAACTAACAATGATTGCCTGGAAATGGTTAATAAAAATATAACATTATATACAACAACGAGAAGGAGACAAAGTTCTTTAGTCGTGTGATGAAAAAAGGAGCACTGTAAAACATCACGACGACTGGAAAGATCACTGGTAGCAGAGGCAGACCAAGAGAATGATGGCGGATGGCTTAAGACAGTGGCATGGAGGAATATCATGAGTGGAATTTATTCAGAACACAAAAGATCATGATCTATATAGAGATGCACGAACGCCTACACCAGCTGGCAAAGCACTTGACGATGATGATGATAATTTCGAAAAGCATTTTTTCCAAATTTAAAAAAAAACAAAACTGTTTTTATTTGCAGTAATCTGTTTTTTTTTTTTTTTTTTTTTTTGTAAACTGTTTTTTTTTTTTTTTTTCAAAGGTTGATGTTACTTCAATTTATGGACAACATGAAGGAGAGGAAAGAGCACTGCGGACAGGGCAAAATGGTAAACTTAAGATGCAGGTGGGTTTGTGTGTCATCCACACAAAAGCTGTCATGTTCTTAAAAATGTAAAGGGGAGAAAGACTGAGCACAAAGTATATAATAGGTCTGCTGAAGAATAGAAGTCTTTTTTTTAAGGAAAAAAACAAACTATTCTCAGAGAAAACACAAACAGTCACTAGAAATTGAAAAAAAAGAAGTTTTGAAGAAAAATTAAATAAATATTTATGTTTATTTAAAAATAAGAGTTAGTGTTTTCTTCATATAGGTGTATTCTTTTGCTTTTGATGAGGGTTTTCAGAACAGACAGGAGACAGTTGTGGTAGCACTTGATCTTGCCCTTCGCCTAGGTACATGGACTTTAGAACCATGCAGTATCGCCCCGGGACTACCCTAGGGTTCTGCAATTTCACCAGTGCTCTTCAATGTATATAGAAGCAAGATTGCAGAACTTGAAGGACCAGGTGTTGGAAGGATATTGGCATTTGCTGAGGATGATTTTGCATACAGGCAGGGGAGCAATAGGCAACGGAGCAATAGGCAACGGATAGACCAAGAGCTACAGGCAACTGCAGACAAAGTGACTGACTGGTGAGCAGAAATAGGTGCTGTCATATACTCAGAAAGGCGGCTGTTTTGTGGTGCTCTCTGGACAATAGAATTGTAAGAGCTAATGTTCCAAGCCTTGCAGTTAATAACACTAACAGCAAAAGAGAAAGCAAAATGAGGTACCTGGGTATCACTTTCAGGCAGTTTGGTGAAATGCCAAAATGGACTCAAAGCTCTCAAGATTATGGCAGCAATGGACATGGAACAAAGAATGCTGTTTATAATGTTCCAGCATGTGATCCTGTCGGTGATAGATTATGGACTCGGAATGCTTACCATATCAAAGAGTCAGCAGATAAAACCTAACACATGCAGAATGAAGCCATGCGGGTGATTCTGGGATTTACAAGAGCTCCTAAGTATGTATGCGATATATACTTGCGCTGCCTACTATTGCACATACGCTTAAGGTTCTGCAAGCAAAGTCATATCCCAGAGTAGCTGCAGACAAGAAGCACCTCTGGGTAGATCCAAGGGTCACTGACTGAAAAGAGGAAGTTCTTGGATGGCGCAAGCTGAAGACACAATCAGACATGTGTGCAGGCTTAATAAATTTGTGCGAGGTGAGGAGTGGGTCAAAGTTTCCGATCAAATTTCAGACATATGCAGGATTCTTATCACTTTAGGACGTGAGTGCAGGGACTGGTCAGCTGTGCGCTGCAGAATCAGAAGTTCAATAAATGATTCATGACAATTCCCGCCCAAGTGATGTGATTATTTATACAGATGACTGTGTGTTCAGGGGTAGACAAAGTGCAAGGGAATTATAGCAAAAGCTTAGTGCAACAAAGCCTGGCAAATGATATCTCAACGTCTAGTTTGAGAATGGAGGTGATGTGGTCAACATCTCGCCGGAGACTAGATAGAATGAGTTTGAGAATGGAGGTGATGTGGTCAGCATCACGCCGGAGACTAGATAGAATGAGTTTGAGAATGGAGGTGATGTGGTCAGCATCACGCCGGAGACTAGATAGAATGAGTTTGAGAATGGAGGTGATGTGGTCAGCATCACGCCGGAGACTAGATAGAATGAGTTTTTGAGAATGGAGGTGATGTGGTCAGCATCACGCCGGAGACTAGATAGAATGAGTTTGAGAATGGAGGTGATGTGGTCAGCATCACGCCGGAGACTAGATAGAATGAGTTTGAGAATGGAGGTGATGGAGACAGCATCACGCCGGAGACTAGATAGAATGAGTTTGAGAATGGAGGTGATGTGGTCAGCATCACGCCGGAGACTAGATAGAATGAGTTTGAGAATGGAGGTGATGTGGTCAGCATCACGCCGGAGACTAGATAGAATGAGTTTGAGAATGGAGGTGATGTGGTCAGCATCACGCCGGAGACTAGATAGAATGAGTTTGAGAATGGAGGTGATGTGGTCAGCATCTCGCCGGAGACTAGATAGAATGAGTTTGAGAATGGAGGTGATGTGGTCAGCATCTCGCCGGAGACTAGATAGAATGAGTTTGAGAATGGAGGTGATGTGGTCAGCATCTCGCCGGAGACTAGATAGAATGAGTTTGAGAATGGAGGTGATGTGGTCAGCATCACGCCGGAGACTAGATAGAATGAGTTTGAGAATGGAGGTGATGTGGTCAGCATCACGCCGGAGACTAGATAGAATGAGTTTGAGAATGGAGGTGATTTGTGGTCAGCATCACGCCGGAGACTAGATAGAATGAGTTTGAGAATGGAGGTGATGTGGTCAGCATCACGCCGGAGACTAGATAGAATGAGTTTGAGAATGGAGGTGATGTGGTCAGCATCACGCGCCGGAGACTAGATAGAATGAGTTTGAGAATGGAGGTGATGTGGTCAGCATCACGCCGGAGACTAGATAGAATGAGTTTGAGAATGGAGGTGATGTGGTCAGCATCTCGCCGGAGACTAGATAGAATGAGTTTGAGAATGGAGGTGATGTGGTCAGCATCTCGCCGGAGACTAGATAGAATGAGTTTGAGAATGGAGGTGATGTGGTCAACATCTCGCCGGAGACTAGATAGAATGAGTTTGAGAATGGAGGTGATGTGGTCAACATCTCGCCGGAGACTAGATAGAATGAGTTTGAGAATGGAGGTGATGTGGTCAACATCTCGCCGGAGACTAGATAGAATGAGTTTGAGAATGGAGGTGATGTGGTCAACATCTCGCCGGAGACTAGATAGAATGAGTTTGAGAATGGAGGTGATGTGGTCAACATCTCGCCGGAGACTAGATAGAATGAGTTTGAGAATGGAGGTGATGTGGTCAACATCTCGCCGGAGACTAGATAGAATGAGTTTGAGAATGGAGGTGATGTGGTCAACATCTCGCCGGAGACTAGATAGAATGAGTTTGAGAAAATATAATCCCTGTGTGGGTTCCTTTTCCTATTGTGTGTGTGTGTGTGTGTGTGTGTGTGGGTGTGGGGGGGGGGGAATTATATCAACTTCCTCCCCGACAATCATGTTGTAGGACTCGACTAATTGAGGGCTTTCTTCGAAGTCGGAGTGCATCTGCCTCAGTGGCAAGGAACAATCAACTGCATACAAATAAGCCAGGAAAAGGAATATACACGCAAACCTCTGAGCCTGGCACAAAGCCAAAGTTTAAATGGACGAACAAGAAGAAGAAAAATATCATTAGAGATCAAGGAGACAGATGAGATTTGACCACATCACCCACTGAGTGCCTATTGTCCTGCAGCTGCACGTTTTCACCTTTGCCAGTATGCGTTGTGAATCTGATTCATCCTTCTGAGAAACCTACAATGAGCGCTCCACTTCAGCTGTATGAAACTTACCTTCTCTAATCTGTGTATGTAAACCAAGTAACTGTGCATCTGAAACCATAACCAGACTGCAATAACAGCAAATTAAAAGGCGTGTGGCCAGACAAAAGAACCATGCAGGAAGCCAACGAAGAATTAGAAACCAACACAGAACTGGTGTTCTCAGCCGCTAAAGGCAGCATTATTTACTAAGGAGGGAACCCGAGCATTTATGGACTAAATGGCTCCAGGTGCAAAGGGGATAATCTGTCGATTAATTAATAAAGTAACTGTAAAATTTTCATTGGAGATTAGAAATGCATTTTCCCCCTTTTCTTCAGAAAATAAAAGGAGAAGATTACCCTATGTACCTGAAGGACATTCCTGGTATACGCATGAAGTACCCACCACATGTGCCAGCAGACCGGCAGTTTGCACTAGGCCACCCATTCTTTGGGCTCCTGCCTGGCTTGTTTCTGTACCAGACCATCTGGATGAGGGAGCACAACAGAGTCTGTGACGTGCTCAAGCTGGAACACCCAGACTGGGACGACGAGCGGTTGTTTCAAACATCCAAACTGGTTATATTAGGTATGTTCTTTTCAAACTTCCAAACTGGTTATATTAGGTATGTTCCTTTCAAACATCCAAACTGGTTATATTAGGTATGTTCGTTTCAAACATCCAAACTGGTTATATTAGGTATATTTGTTTCAAACATCCAAACTGGTTATATTAGGTATGTTCGTTTCAAACATCCAAACTGGTTATATTAGGTATGTTTATTTCAAACATCCAAACTGGTTATACTGGGTAGGTTTGTTTCAAACATCAAGACTGGTTATACTGGGTATGTGCCCGGCTCGCTAGCGTAGTTGGCTAAACCGGATTACGCGGTGACCGGGTGAGGAACCCCTTGTGTGTCCAGGTTCACGCCCGGGGGTAGGCAGAAAAGCCACATTTCTCTCAGATTTACGGTATTTATCATGGAATCAAGGGTTGCGATATCTATAATACCGAGCCTAAGGGTTAACAACTCATGGCTTCTGGATACTAAATATATTTTTTTTAAATACTGGGTATGTTTGTTTCAAACTGGTTATACTGGGTCTGTTTGTTTCAAACATCCAAACTAGTTACACTGGGTATGTTTGTTTCAAACATCCAAACTGGTTAAACTGGGTATGTTGATTTGAAACAACCAAACTGGTTATACTGGGTATGTTTGTTTCAAACCTCCAAACTGGTTATATTAGGTATGTTCATTTCAAACATCTAAACTGGTTATACTGGGTATGCTTGTTTCAAACATCCAAACTGGTTATACTGGGTATGTTTGTTTCAAACATTTAAACTTGTTTTAATGGGCATGTTTGTTTCAAACATCCAAACTGGTTATAATGGGCACGTTTGTTTCAAACTGGTTATACTGGGTAGGTTAGTTTCAAACATTCAAACTGGTCATACTAGGTAGGGTTGCTTCAGGCTACAACTAGGAAAGTAGTAATATCATGACATCCTGACCACTGGGTCCCTTACACGTCACTTTCCTCACAGAATCACTGAAAGTCTTTTTCTCTAGCCAAATCCCCAGCCCTATATTCTTCAATAGCCAATTTGTCTTCAGTTACTTGTATCCACTTTTGCGGAGGTCTGCCTCTGTCACGTTTTCTGACCTCCGCCACCATTCTCTCCAGGATACCATGACATTTAAAATTACCTCAAGTGGTATACTGGAAATATTTATTTCTCACTACAAATGGGGAGCTGGTTATGCTGGGTATTTTGTTCACACTGTGGCTAGTAAACTGGTTATGCTGGGTATTTTGTTCACACTTTGGCTAGTAAACCAGTTATACTGGGTATTTTGTTCACACTGTGGCTAGTAAACTGGTTATGCTGGGTATTTTGTTCACACTTTGGCTAGTAAACCAGTTATGCTAGGTATTTTGCTTACATTGTGGCTAGTAAACTGGTTATGCTGGGTATTTTGTTCACACTACAGCTAGTAAAATGGTTATGCTGGGTATTTTGTTCACACTATAGCTAGTAAAATGGTTATGCTGGGTATTTTGTTCACACTATAGCTAGTAAAATGGTTATGCTGGGTATTTTGTTCACACTACAGATAGTAAAATGGTTATGCTGGGTATTTTGTTCACACTATAGCTAGTAATGGAGGGGTATATGCCTGGGAAGAGAGGAAGAGGAAGGCCAAGGAGAAGATGGGTGCAGGATGTGGCAGATGATCTCCAGATGGGTGTATCAGACGCAGGACATCTTGCTCAGGATAGGAAGGTTTTCCGGAGGGTTGTTATGGCAGCGAGGTTCCGCGAGGGACATGCTACTGAATGAATGAATGAATGAATAGCTAGTAAAATGGTTATGCTGGGTATTTTGTTCACACTACAGCTAGTAAAATGGTTATGATAGGTATTTTGTTCACACTATAGCTAGTAAAATGGTTATGATAGGTATTTTGTTCACACTGTAGCTAGTAAATTGGTTATTCTGGGTATTTTAATATACACTACAACTAGTAACAAAACGGTATGATGAAATCACTAATGTTGAGCTTTGGGGAAGAACTAAACGAGTTCCAGTGGACCAAGATGTGAAGTACAGATGCTGGTGTTGAATAAGACACACGTTGAGAAAACCTGAGAACAATGTAACTAGAATGTCTTTGCAGTTAACCACAAAGGCATAGAAAAAAAAAGGGGGGGGGGGGAGAGAAAAGAATTATAAAGTAAAGTTATAAACACGGAGAGGACATGGGAAAGCTGCATGCAGTAGCTTCTGTGGTGTGCTTTGTTCCAAACATAAGGGTGTTTTCTTTTCTTTAAAAAATAAGGCACAGCGAGGGAGGGATCATGCTGCCTGTGCAATACATAGTCTCTACAATACCCCCAAGCTTTATGCTAGGGAGGGAAGAAACTTTAGTAAGTAAGTAAATTCTACCCCACCAGGACAACATACAGAGCGATAGAAACCCAGTGACACAAAGTGCCACCGTGCGGAGGAGGATCACCTCTGGAGAGGTCCCGGAAATCATCAGGTTATATTAGGGCCCCCAGCAACAGCCAGGATGAGGCTTTAAAATAATGCAAAAATGCATTCCACAAGTGGTAGACAACGTTAAACTAGGAGGAACTTTTCGCACAAACGAAAAGGTGCCAAAGTAATGTATGTTAAGAGACAGTATTATATTATTGTAAACTTATTTCTACAGCCGCCCTACATTCTTCTTGAACTCTATATTTGTCTACTCTTCACCCTTCACAGTCACTAATAGTTTTACAAAAACCCACATAATTCACGCTTTAAACAAAATCAAAATAACAACTGTATGTTTATGCTAATGAAAACAGGAGAGACAATCAAAATTGTGATTGAAGATTATGTGGAGCACCTGGCCAACTACAATATTAAGATCAAGTTTAAACCCGAAGTGCTGTTTGAGCAGAATTTCCAGTACCAAAACAAAATCAACATTGAGTTTGATCATCTTTACCACTGGCATCCTCTCATGCCGGACCAGTTTCACATTAATGGGACAATCTACCCGATGAAAGACTATATGTTCCACTCGGAGTTGGTCATCAACTATGGGACTTCTTTGTTTACGGAAGCCTTGTCCAGACAGAGAGCAGGCCAGGTGAGTCCATCCAACGGTGCTTCATTAATATCCTACCGCAAACAGGGGAAATCCACAGGTCACGGGACAGTATAATATTTCAGGGGGTGGTAGATAGGCTGTATGCAGTCGTAGGACATAGGCTGCATACATTTGGGGACCTAGGCTGTACTCTCTCGTGGGATGTAGTGGGTTCGGGTTATTGCCAGTTCTAGATGTTTCGCGATCGTTAAAAGCATCAGAAAACCAGCAAATAGTCTTACCATCCTCTAAAATGTTGGACTGTCCCGTGACGTCATCTGGGGTAGGATATTAATAAAGAACCCACCCAACATTGGCACAACTGTTAAATAGACTTACTACTGCTCCTCCCCCTGTTTGTTATTCGACCTACACTTTAATATAAATTTCTGTAACTTATGGTGCCATTTCAATGGTTTGAAATGAATTCTGCCTGTATTCCATATTTTTGAATTTCAGGCTGTACGATAGACATGGCCAATGAAGACACATTTTATAGGGGTGCCTAGTTAGTCATGTTTTTTGTACACTTCTTTCCACAGCACGGCTCACACACATTTGGAGATGACAGGTTCGATTCCCGGCACGCGAACTACAGCTTTCGATTTTAATATTGTCTAGTGTGCCCTTTTATCTTTCTACTTCTTTCTATGAGTGCCAATCAATGCATTATCTGTTTTTTATTATATATATATATATTTTTAGGGCCTCAAGGGTTCCACCCTCTGTTTATTTATGCTATGATTTAACAGACCACAAAGCAGTAGAGTACAATCATTCCCTGTGGGATGCAAATTTTCATTATTTTGAAGACCCACCCTGGCTCTTGCTAGGGGCAGGAATATAGCCCGGCCATAAATATGGCCTAATGGCTGAACGCGGTTTCTGGGACCTCTCCACGGGTGATCCTCATCCGCATGGTGGCACTTTGTGTTATCGGGTATTTATCGCTTGTGTGATGTCCTAGTGGGGTAAAATGTACTACTACTACTACCACAAAGCATGATGAAAAAGGTGGAGAAGGGCATGCCCCGTGAAAAATGCTTTCAGCTCCGTGCTTTCTATCTGACACTAACATAGATTGAATGTTTCTAACTGTAGCTAACATCTGTCCAAATTTGCCTGTTTCATCAGATGTCCCACCACAACCATGGTCCCTACACGATTAACGTTCTAAGGGAATTAATTCTCCAAGGGAGATCACTGAAATTACAATCGCTCAACAACTACAGGAAACGGTTTCACCTTGAGCCCTACACTTCCTTTCAAGATCTGACTGGTGAGTATATCTTTTGTTCTCCACATGTGGGTTCCGGGTCTCATTGTGGGGAATACAAGAACAGACCCACTGCATCCCCAACAAGAAAGTTCCTGGGGTCGACTAGTTAAGGACTTCCTGGGGTCGACTAGTTAAGGACTTCCTTGGAAGTTGCAGTGCATCTGCCCGAGACGGCAAGGAACAACTAACTGCACAGAAATAAGCCAGTAGAACAACCCTGGCACAAAGACAAAGTTCAAACAGACAAACAGCCAGGCCTTTCCACCGGAGCTCACAGCCGGTGAACAAAGAAGATGACGAAGAAGAAGAAGACCCCTTATTCTATTCATGATCTAGCTAATGAGGCTAATTTTGATCCTTTTTATGTTATTTTTAGGCAGACTGTTTAAAATATCCTTCATTTGATTCAAGATATCATGAACAACAAATTTCAATCCAAACAAAAAGCATATGTGATAAACGGTTCACCCCATAGTTGCCCCACTCATGTGCCAGCGAAAAACAAACATGAAGTCCCTCACTGTTCCTTGTGGAAAAATTGATACAGACTTCAGTCTTAGCATATCCACTAGCATACACACACACATTCAAAGCGTAAGGCAGTCATCAGAAGTGCTAACACAAACAGTCTGAAATTAGAAATTCAGCACATGATCGACCGAAACAGCGGTTAAAAACGGATAAGCAGTTGCACACGCGATTAATTGTAATCACATAAGGTACCGTCAATTCTGTGGCAACAGGCCACGTGCATTTTCTGAATTTACAGTTCACAACACCACGCTGGTCCAGTCAAAACATTTCAGATTAATCCGGCAGCTCACAGTGTCGCTCCATGCACTCAGCTAAGTAGGCAAGCAACAAAACTATATCTTTTCAGTCTACAAATGAAAGAAAATGCAATATCCACCATCTGTCACAAGCAAAACATCTGCCACAACTAAAAACATAATTTTGACCTGAATAAACATATATTGATTGGCAGTCATAGTAACCATGAACTCCGCCTCAAAATGGGACGCAATTTGTTGTTATTTTAAAAGCTCCCACCCTGGCTGTCGTCGGGGATCCTAATATAAACGGTTGAACGGGGTTTCTGAAACTTGTGCCCGGGAAATTCTCATCCGAATGACTGCACTTTGTGTCACAAGATGCTTATCCCTGATTATGCAGCCCTGATAGGGTTTAACCTCATTCACTTACCCAATAAGCAGACCAAAGATAGAAAAAGCACACAAGACAATATAAAAATCAAAAGCTATAGTTACCACGCCTGAAATCAAACTGTTTACCTTAAAATGACAACAGAACTCGCCGAACGAACAAGTGTTCTAGGAAACATGACAAATCAGGCACCACTAAAAAAGGTGTCTTAATAAGCCATGTCATACACACGAGAAGTAAGACTAGTCAGCTTCACATTACTCTACCACAATTTTGAACGACAAAATGAACATTGTGACCAGAAAACCTTCATCGGCACACGACACACAAAAAAATAATGAAGCAGTTACATAAATGGATACATAAAATCACAGCTTTGCAGGAATGTTGTTCAAGATGTGAATTTTGGGTCTCTCTCTCTCTCTCTCTCTCTCTCTCTCTCTCTCTCTCTCTCTCTCTCTCTCTCTCTCTCTCTCATTATATTCATGACCAAACGTGTCCCTCCCTATTCAAAATCTGACTACTAGATTTAAAAAAAATTATTAATTTATTCTTGGTCAGCTACGTCAACAGTCTATAGATATATCAATGCTGACCAATGTGTAAACAAGGAGCATTCTATCTTTGCACGACATGAGGAGAAGTGGACAAAGAATCACTAAAAATGCACTGGAAGGGGAAACAAATGGATCTGAAGAAACGAAGCGGTCTAAAAAAAAAACCTAAGACGAATGTTGTTGAAGGAGGCCAAGGGTGCCGGACAGAATTCCTTTGATGAGATCAAAAGGATTGCACAAGACAGAACGGAAAAGAGGACTAAACTGCAAGCCCTATGTGACTATTGTAATGTCATGACAGATATTGATGATTAAAATGGTGACATAAACACATGTTGGAAGAAGAGCTAAATTAGCCGCAACCATCAAGCAGACAGCAAAAGAAGAAACAATATCAAACACTCTAAAATATCTCTGTGTGGGTTCCCGGGCCCTATTATAGGGAAAACAAGAATAAACCCACTGCCTACCCAAAAGCATGTCGTAAGAGTCGACTAATTGGGAGCTTCCTTCGAAGTCGGAGTGCATCTGCCTGAGGAACCAGCAGTCTGCTTTCAAATGAGTCAGATCTGTAAAACGTATGTACACGCAACACTGAGGTTCTGGAACAGGACCGCAGTCCAAAAGTGGATGAACAACAAAAACTTTCCACCAGAGTTTACAGCTGGTGAACACGAAGAAGAAGAAACACTCTAAACTCTAAGTTAAACAGGGTCAATTCGTATGAAAACAGATTTGTGGTTTAGTCTTTGCTTGACTGTCATTTCCTGTTCTTGCAGGAGAAACTAAGATGGCCGAGGAACTAGAGAGCTTGTATGGTGACATTGATGCTGTAGAGTTCTACGTGGGGCTTCTTACGGAAAAACGCCGATCAAGAAACCTTTTTGGGTCCACAATTGTAGAGATTGGAGGGCCTTTCTCCGTGAAAGGTCTCATGTCGAATCCTCTCTGCTCCAAACAATACTGGAAACCTTCTACTTTTGGTGGCTCGGCTGGGTTTGATATTGTAAAGTCTGTGACATTACAAAAATTATTTTGTGTAAATATTAAAGGCGTGTGCCCTTTGGTGTCTTTAAGAGTGCCTGAGTTTTACGAAGGAGATATTGATGAACTGAATACGGAAGTTAAAGATGAGTTATAGTAATGGCCAGATTTTGCGTAATATGTTTAGCTAATATAGACAGATTAGAGATGCCATATTGTAGACGGTAAAACCTACTTTTGATAAAAACCAAAAGACTAGACAGAAAGACGAAGCAGGCAGGAAGGGGGTAAATGAGAGAAATATAAGTTTATTATACTGCATGAAATACTGAAAAAACGTGAAAAACCAGTGTTTGAATGTGTAAATTGATACCGCTATAACAGTGTGTGAATGTATATTGATACCACTAAAACAGTGTGTGAATGTATATTGATACCACTAAAACAAGGTGTGCATGTATATAGATACCACTATAACAGTGTGTGCATGTATATTGATACCACTAAAACAGTGTGTGCATGTAAATTGATACTACTAAAACAGTGTGTGAATTTATATTAATAAAACTAAAACAGTGTGTGAATGCATACTGATACCACTAAAACAGTGTGTGAATTTATACTAATACCACTAAAACAGTGTGAATTTATATTGATACCACCAAAACAGTGTGTGATTGTATATAGATACCACTTAATCTGTGTGTCGGCTCTGTGGCTAAGTCGATGCGAACGCTTCGCTTCGTAATGCCGGGATGCCAGGTTCGATCCCAGCTGCGGGCAATGCGCCTTGCGTTGGTTTCGACAGTGGTATCAAGAAAGCCGACCGTCCAGGAAGCAATGGCAAACTACTGGACGTAAATTGCCTAGAGAAACCACACAACAGCCAGGGGCTGTTAGGGTTGGTTCTGTGACGTCCTGTAAAGGATACGCAACTAACTTTTAAAACTTTTAATCTGTGTGTGAATTTATACTGATACCACTAAAACTGTGTGAATGTATATTGAAACCACTAAAACAATGTGTGCATTTATATTGATACTACTAAAACAGTTTGTGCATGTATATTGGTACCACTAAAACAGTGTGTGAATTTAAATTGATAAAACTAAAACAGTGTGTGAATGCATACTGATACCACTAAAACAGTGTGTGAATTTATATTGATACCACTAAAACAGTGTGAATTTATATTGATACCATAAAACAGTATGTGAATTTATATTTATACCACTAAAACAGTGTGTGATTGTATATAGATACCACTTAATCTGTGTGTGAATTTATACTGATGCCACTAAAACTGTGTGAATGTATATTGAAACCACTATAACAGTGTGGATGTAAACTGATGCCAAAGAATAAATGAATGAAACAAGAATTGATACCATAGCACTTGGAAAATTCTCACACATGCTCAGTCTCCTTCCTCAGTAGCCACCAGAGTTCCCACAACGATGGTGCCAACTGTAATCTGATATAAAATTGTGCTTGCATTTTTTTTCTCTTCCAGGAAGACAGAAAATCGTCCAAACCCTCAGCTCACTCCCACCATATATCCTTCTTCTTCTCGTACACCAGCTGTAAACTCTGGCGGAAAGTTCTGTTTGTTCATCTACTTCTGGACTGCAGTGCTGTTCCAGAACCTGTGTTTTGCATGTGCATCCGTTTTACAGATCTGACTTATTTGTATGTAGACTGCTGGTTCCTTGCCTCTCAGGCAGATGCACTCTGACTTTAAAGGAAGCTCCCAGTTAGTCGACTTATACGACATGCTTTTTGGGTAGACAGTGGATCTGTTCTTGTTTTCCCTATAACAGGGCCCCAGAACCCACACAGGGATCTCCATATTGAATGCTCGTTCTGTTCTGCTCTACTGCTCACTTGATCCCAGAGAACCTTCACCATGTCCGCCATATAGTAAAATAGCTCATGGCCCAAAATTGGCGTAAGGGAGCTATTTAACATCACCCTGAGAAAACCGGTTTTCTGACTTTTACGGGTTTTTAATGGCCTGACATGTTTCGACAGTGGTCAGTATGTCTATATAACAGTTTTAATACTGGTTGCAGCTGCACAGTGTGTAGATGTGGTGGTAGGTGTGATTATATTTAGACACCCCAAACAAAATTTAATATATTATTTGGATTTAAAACAATGGACTTTTTGGTCACTATAATGTCATAATATAACATATGTCAATAAGTTCTCTGTGGCTGTATCAACAAAACCCCACTTATCTAGGTTAAAGGAAAGGAAAACATTTATTTTTTTGCTCCAGATTTCTTCTGCTTCTTCTCTTTATCTAGTTTCTTAGGGCAAAGTTTCAGCGAATTATAACAATTTGTTTATTTTTAACGAAAGACTAAAAAGGCCATTTTATGGGGTAAAATTATATGGGACGAACGGGTTAGCTATGAATATAAATTCCTATTAAAAGTATTTGTTAATATATTTTTAATTATTTCAAAATTATTATTACAGTAAAACCTCATTAACATGAACTCACACAAGAACTAATTCTACATAAACATAATTTTGGTCCCAGTAAGGATATATTATGCATTATTAGGATGTATTATTAACATTATCAGTCAGCTGGTGCTACAGAACCAGAAGTTCAACAATTGATTTATGACAATTCCCGCCCAAGTGATGGGATTATGTATACAGAGGCAAACGAAGCGCATGGGTGTTCTAACCAAACCGAATGGACGTCACTGTTGTACCCTTGTATAACCCCTGTGTTGACTGTGGGTATACAGAGCACTTATTTATTTTAGTCCATATAATATTTACGTTTCTGCACTGATACTTCTTAGTATCTGAAAAACCAACCAAGTATGTAGGGCAAGGGTGCCTACGCTGATATGCCGCTGTATCTCTCCTTCAATGGATGTGGTGCTAATATTTGCAGTCCACTATAATTTAACACCTGGTCACAGTGGGCTCAACACCAGCAAATACTGTTGTGATTATCTCGAAGAGTCAACAATACGACTTGTGACAGGGCACTTTAATGTCATTCACAGAAGAACATGTCACAAGATGATGATGATTAATATATGCATGCTAATAAGTCTCTGTTATCTGCACTGACGATCTTAAAAATTGCAACCTTCACTAAATGGACTCCTGCCATCAGAAACTAAAACAGACATCAAACTGTCTCCCGCAGACTGCGGTAAAGCACAAACCTCACTAAGAGGAATGTTACTATAATATCCTCATAAAGAGAAACAGATAACTTGGCTTGTCTGCTAACCCGCAGAAACCTACGTCCGACTTGGATGCTAGCAAATTCTCAACTAACTCCCAACTGACTGTACCTTTGAATTCTATCCCCAGATTTCAGTTAAGTTTTATAATTACATCCACCTGTTCTAACAAGGTGATGCCATTTCAGGTACACACAAATTCATTCTCATAGTTTATGTTCTAATAACTTATGTTCTCATTACCCCAATATAATTAACTCTGGACTAGTTGACCAGAGCCTATTGTCCCAGATAACACCCACACACTCTCCTCTCAGATAAATCTATGTGTACTTAGAAATTAATTACCCCTTGTCACACCCATCGCTGGTTCTCAGCTAGAAACTAATCTGGACCCAGTAAAAACATCACATAGCCTGGGTAACTAAGGATTTGTGGCCGTGCAACTTCTACCACTCGCCTCCCTGCTAATTTAAATTTTAATCACCCGCTAAACAGGGCTGCAACAGTCGCTTAGTACAACAAAGCCTTGCATATGATATCACAAGGTCTAGTTTGAGAATAGAGGTGGAGGCAGTCACTGCTGCCTTGAGAATCAGCTGTACACGCATGCCGTGATTGTGACTCACAGACCATGCTGAAAAAGGTAGAGACAGGCATGCTCCATGCAGAGTAGCAAGCATCCCAGGTAGTTAGCGTCCTTTGGATATTTTCTCCATATAATACTGGTGTGTTAGGAAATGAGCAGGCAGATAGACAGGCCGGCTCTGCACCACTTGGTGGTGAATTGATGAATGACAAGCTAGATACTGTGAGCATGTGAACAGCCCGGAGACACAAACAGATCATTATGGTCTGAGGAGAATGACGCTGCGTGGAGTTACTGGGAATTCTGGCTGACGCTCAACACTCAGGGAAAGGGCGAGACGGATATACAATTAGACAGTTACTGGTGCCATCGGAATTGCAACTCTTCGTTTGCTGCTGAAGATGGGGATGGACAGCTTATGGTGGTGTCCCGAGTGCTGTGATGTTGATTCTTAATTCAACATTCATTATTAGTATTATCAGTTCATTAGTATTATCAGTTCATAGTGACCACAAATTTCTTTTAACACAAGCTCAATTTTCAGTCCCTGTTAATGAGGTTTTACTGTGTGTTTATTTGCCACTCAACACACTTTTATTATTATTATGCTATTAAAATAAGATTAGGCTCAAGCTCCTTATTTGTTTATAAAATGTATAAGATGGGGGTTAGAGGGTTACACCCAGCAACACACAATTTTTGCTTCGTAGAGGTGTGCCTGAAGCAGTGTGAGAATATATGCTGGCTGTTAAAATGCAACTGAAATGTTCAGTGTAAATCAACAATAGAAACACTGTGTGCATGTTATGTGGAGTGTAAAAACATTTGTGAAAGTGTTCAAGTATTTACAATCAATAGGTCACTGAAGTCAATCGAGAATGTCAGCTGTTAAGGCATTTTTTAAACAAAAAATGCTTACTATAAATAAAATTCAGTATTTAAACTTAAAAAAAAAAGCCTTCCATGTGTTATATTAGTATCATCTTTTTTTTTTGCTTATTTGCTATGAAGGATTTATAGCTGCAATGTCCATTAAGTTATTTATGTTAGTTTTCTGTAAAACTGTTTTTGTTATATTTTTCATGTGTTCACAGTAAAATAAAATGTTAAGTGTCCTGAGAGGGAGACAGATCCCTTGCAGGCACATCTAGAAATGCCAGAATCATCATCTGTAATACAGTCAAGGACAAAGGAACAGTTAAAGCCTAAATCATGCTGCTCGTCCTAGTAGGATGGAATGAGATAAATCTTTAAAGGGCGTTAAAAACAAGAGGTATACTGATGATTCTGTTTATCATGGTAGAAAATCTGACTGGAGTTTTTCAGCTAAAAAAAGGTGGAGGCTAAACA